ATTTAAGATCTCCCAGTAGGAAATCGCGTCTTTCACAGACTCAAATACTGAAGCACTGGTTCGTCAATGGATGACTAGTATAGCCACAGACCCTGAACCTTTGATAGTCACATCTAGTGCAACCTGAAAGCAATTAAGAAACCTGCCTGGTTTGCTCAGTCCTCTCTGAATTTAAAAAAAAACAAAAACAAAAAAACCCAAAACACCGCAACTGACTAGCGACATTGTATTCTCCATGTTCCTGCCTTACCAAAACAGCTTTTAATAGACCACCAACTGAAGGACTTTTTAATAGACCGCTAGGACCAGTTAAGATGCAGAGGACACCACTTTTTCAGAAGTTCCACGAACACGTGAGCCCAGCCCCCACAATTTATTTTTCCCTGTACGATGGGAGGAGGCAGCTACACGAGGATCACTGAAGTGTTTTGCACAACAGGCAATAAAAGGTTTGATACTCAACGCTAAATGAACTAATAGTGGCAGGACTGTGGAGAGATTAAATTATTGCAATGACTTATGACCATGTAATGTATCTAATCTCAAGAGAGGTTCTTGAAAATTTCCTTTGTAGTAGCTGATTTAAATGTTGTCTTTGACTTAACAATTACTTTCCTTTAGGGACTGTTTCAGGTTGTTGGTGGATTAAACAACTTTGCAACACATTTTTTCCACACACTTCTATACTCTTTCAGTCTGTATAACACTGTAAGGCCTTCTGACAAATTTGCACAATAAGATGCTGCAGTTCCACCAAGAGATCTCTACAAGAAGATGAAATTTCCATTGAAAGCATTGAAGAGGCACAAAGAGAAACCTGTGATAGTAGTTGCTGTCATGATCATATTTTTTAATCATGTATCCTGGTTTGCTGTTTCTCATTTATTAATAAATCATTATCATGGCTAAGGTATGGCAAATAACCTGCTGTGGTTAGAACAGCAGGTGTTACAGATCTGAACTTGCAGTCAGGACATTTTGTAAACATCTATGTGCTTTAGCAGATTGTGTTGTGCTTGTTAAAATTAGAGAGCAGCTCAAAACACTTCTTTCCACCCTGCGAAAACCAGCGGACAATGGTGCAAGCTGACAGGAAGCAGATAAGCCTATGGACTAAAATCTAAAACAGATCTCAGGACAGAAACAAAGCAAAAAAGCAACTAGGAATAACTGCCTTGTTCCAGAGAAACATGTTTTGGTTTTAGTTTTATTCAAGCAACTACTTTACTTTCTTTCTTCCTGCATTCAAACTGGCATTTACTTTGCACTTTCTTCAGCTGCAAGAGAACCCCTTCAGAATGCACAGAGAGCACCTGTACCCTAAATCCTATGTAGAGCTAAAGGATGTCTTAACCAGACAGGTTTCTTGACTACCTCAGTTTCATGAATTTGCTGTCACAATCGTTAAGACTGTGTTAGTAACAACACAGTCATGACGGCAACTGAAACCAGAGGAGAAAAAAGGGCAGTGATGAAGGACTCCCCCAGTGTGACAAACACTAATCCAGGTATTTAGCTGTTCATTTCACCCCCTGTAAACCTTACATACATCTGAGTTTGAACTCTGTTAGACAGGGAAATCAAATACTTTGCAGAGGTGTAAGGAGAAAAAAGGTAAACGCTACACACAAGTCAGGTACCTTACCACACAGCAAAGGGGAAACTGGGACAAGAGAGGGAAGTGAGCCTACACCTCTCTTTTTAGAAGCAGCTCTCATATCTAATTTCTCGCAGTCGAAGCATCACCTCATTTCAACCCAAACCTCTCTGTCCAGGCAGTAAGGATGGAGCATTTTTGGCAGTTTTGCAGCTTTTTAACTTCCTTGAGTTGTTTGCTTTGTAAAATAGGATTCAGTGAGCTGCAGTTACATGTGTTTAAACAGATGTCAGCTACTTCAGGTCCAGCTGGACAGCCACATTCCATTCTACATTCTCACCTTCACTTCTCAACTCCCAATCACTTTTTTTTCAGATCTTTATGAAATCCCTGCTATGTTCCCATACCAGCTGTGGCAAATACAAACAGCAGCCCCATGTTCACAGCTGGTTGTGTGAATGTAACAGATACCACCTGAAATATAAAAGGAGGAAATTTCAAGAAATGTTTGGGGAACATACCAAGCTTATTGATTTGACATGAAAAACTAGAAATCCTTTTCTAGCCCGTGCAGTAGCAGATAGCCTTCATCTTCTTATTTATACCCCTACCAGTCAGAGGGATTGCAGCATAGTGCAGGGTAGGGCTCAGTACAGGAAAAGGCAACTGCTGAAAGGCAATCAGTTGTTCCCATGTCAGCCTTTTTGCCCCACTTCAGCCCTCTGTGATATTGGCAGCCCTTACGGGCCCCACAGAGTCCACACCTACCACCACCATCACTGCATCAGGGGTTAGCAAGGGTTTTTTAAAGGGGGGCAGGAGGGGAAAGTTCCTGCAGAAATCCAAGCTCATTGTCAGGATGGACTGCATGTCTTCTCAGAAAAATCCTTTGATAATAGGAAAGGAAGCACCAGCAGTTAGGCAGCAGCCCCCTTTTCAGCCTGGTGCTGTTACAACCCTCGAGACGAGGGTTTTCTGGAGGGTTATGAAGTTAAAATACCTGAAGGGCCCAAGCAGCACAGCAGCCAAAGACTATGGTGGGGAGAGAGAGAGAGAGAGACCTTTGGCCAGAGTGGAAGGAAACAGTGCTGAACTTCAAGAGGATGAAGATACCCTCATATTTCTAGAAACAACTGATGTAACATGGCACCTCATTGCAGCAGGAGAAGAGCACTTATTTCTCCTCATCCCCAGCTCCTGGCCCTGTTTTTTTCTCATCTCTGATCTGATCCCATTGGTCTTCCTCTGCCTTTTCACTACGCACCAACACTGCTCCTTTAGTGAGCTGAATTGCTCCACAAATGGGTGCAAACAGTGTCAGAAACCATCCAAATAAGGAGGGTGAAAACAGGAGTGCGCAGCCAAATGGGAAGGGGAAGAGGAGGGTGGTGGCAGCACCAGAAACACAGGGGTGTGATATTCCAGCAACCCACCGTGCCTCAGGAAGTCACACTTTAAATTCCCAGAGAGTAAGAATCAAGGGTATTTTGCAGAGAAAACAGAAACAATCTGCTATCTGGTCACACATGCCAACAGTGTAGCAACAGTTGTTTAAACGTCTTGTTCTTGTCACTTTTTGAATTTCAGCATTTTCGAGTTTAAGTATAGAATGTAACAGCCACAAGGCTCCAGAACACTGTGAGAAAAACCCAGCATCTAAAGCAGGGAACGACTTTAGGGAAAAAGATACAAAACGTCAAGCGAGTTCTCCCAAAGACCTGGGAAAAAAGGAGAGATTGCAGTTAAACATCTAAGACACCATTTGCATTTTACTTTTAATCAGGTGTAATAAATGTACACAAAAGGTAGGGAAAGTAGATGCATGGTATCAATGAGGTCAGAAGTATCAAGACTGGTTCGAAACATTTCCAAATGTCATGCTAACAGGATATTCAGGGAAGCTTTTACAGCCATCAAGAACAGGGCTTGATTAGCATCAGAGCTAGAATCCACACAACACACAAGTTTGACATAGACTCAGAAAAGCCATTTTCCTCATGTCTAATAGACCCATGAATTTCAGCTGTGAAGGCTACAACAGGGTTAGCATCATGTGATTTTCTGATTTTGAATGAGTTAATTGACCAAATTATTAGACAATAAGTGCAAGCTGCTGCACTGCTTTCTCATGCTAAATTAATTTTTAGAGAGAGTCTTTATAAGGCTGAAGAAGAGGCAGCAGCATTTGAGATATTAAAAACCAGTCTAGCACCAAGCAACTCTCAAAGTCTAATTCTGTAACCGCCCTTTGGTGGATGTCTCTTAGGAAGCAGGAAAAGAAAAAAAAAAAAGTTACAAAAAAAAGAAAATTCCAGCATACTGCAATGACAGTCACAAACGCTTTGTGACAAGTTGCACAAATGCAACTAGGACAAATAAAAGAAACTTCATTTCCTGAAGCCACACACGGTTAAGACCAACAACTTCAAACACAAGGACAACATTCCATCTGTGACAGTGTTTATGAGAACGCCGCATTCTGGGACTTTACAGGATCGGTCTTTTGAAGAGCAGTCACCCTAAACAGTACCCTGCCTTCCCAATCCTGCCCACGGTCTGCTAACATGCACGTTCACTGCAGCACTGCACTTCAGGGGCATTTTTAAGTGCTCTGAAAACAAAGGCCTTGCCCAAGGCTCTCATCAGCTGGGCTGATAAATTTCCCTCATCTCTCTCACAACTAGTAAGTAGTGAAAGGTTACTCCAAAATCAACGTCTTATTTACGTACCTCACCAAAGGAACAGAGGAATTAGACTTTTTGCAGTGCTTTGAAGGCATAGCAAGCCGAGGTTGGAAGTTTCCGCAGGCTGAGATGTGTATCTTGTCTTTCCCTGTCTTTCCGTGGCACGTGCAGGTGTTCTTAGCTGGTCTAACCCTGCCCCTTTTGAAATCAGTGAAAACTACTTCCTGGGGACCAACAAGGCCAACATTAAATGTCTTGACAAAGCCTCGCAGTAAGTGCACAACGACCTCAAAACCTGGCTTTACTCTCAGCCAGATTCAGTTCCCCATCCCCTGTAAGCATGAGACAGCCATTGTAAACAAAAACAAACAAACAAACAAAAAAAAACACAAACCAAAACCAACAACAAACAAACAAAAAACCAAAACCCACCAGATTTTAAACGTGTTCGACCTTGCATCCTTTCCTTCTGTAAAGCAATTCAGATTTTGTAAACTAAATGCACATTCCAATTCTGAGATGCTTGCATTCTCAATATATTAGAAGTGTATCGAACTGAAATGACCATGAAGTGGTCAAAAAAGTGCGATCTCATTTGTGTGTCTGCTTATTTGCTGTTTTGGGATTCTGGAGAGTCTCACACACAGAATTAGAAAGCATTTAGTTTTTTTAAACTAAATTTCTTGGCCTAGCAAAGTGAAAAGTGGTGTCTGTGACTTCTAGGCAGGTACTTCCACAACTTCAAAATAGTCATTGGGCAGGATCACATAGCCCTTCCCTGCCAATATGTCCTTTTCTTTCTGGAACTGAACGATCTCCCTCAGTTTTTCGATCTGCCTCTCCTGGCGCCGGCACCGCTGCTGCGCTGTCTTGAGTTTCTTCCGCAGCTTCTCCACTTGCTCCTCCAGCTGCTGGATTCTTTTCCGCTGATGGACTGTATCCTCCACGGTGTAGTTGTGATCACAAAAAACAGCAAGGTTGCTCGGGGTCTGGAGGGGAGGCATCAGTAATCCAATGCTCGGGTCTACAAATCTCGCATCTATC